TTCCTACTAGGGGTTTTTAAATTTTAGCCAATCAATTGGAGGCGAACCCCTTATCGCTACATGCGGATAAGACAGTTTGGTACACTTCTTAATCACCTACCCTAGGTTTGTAGTGAGATCACTAGGGCAAGTATGCTTCATCGTTGAATTCGTTTGGATCTCATTTTATGTATGTGTTTACATTCTTAGGTTCTGCTTTGGTTGATTTATAAAATTGCATCATAATGTTTTATTTTTTTGTGCATGTTTGATCGACCATATATCCCACCCACCTCGATCAGCTTCTCCCGTTGAATCGATTGATCGCATCTACGCTGGATCGGCTTGATCGACTATTGGCATCAATTTTTGAATTCACATTTATAGGATTTCTATTTGAATGATTTGGGATGAATTGGATATTCATACCATCTTGAAGCACAAGATATCCATCTGGACCTCCCAGTACGTGCCATGAACATGGAATCGGGATCAATACAGATTTTTGCCCTACTAAAATCTGTTGTGGGATGGGTTTGGCTTTGGCTCGAGACATGTTTAACACTTGTCTCAATGTTTAGAGATCTCACACCATCAATTTAGACTCGTTTATGACCAACTGAAGTCACAAGACTTGCATGCGGGCATTATTGGGTGAGCAACAAGGTTTCAAACCACTTTGCATCGCTGGTGGATGACTGTTATTCAAAGGGTTATTCTAGTTTTAAAACTTGTCCATGGGCCTTCTTTGATGGTGAGAGCTCATTTCCCATCTATTCAGGTCCTTCCGAGGTAGCGCTCTGATTACCGAACCCTAGTTTTGAGACCTAATGACCCATTTCGAGCTCAAGATGAAACATGATGTAATTATGCCACCAAAGTGGTGTATCCACGCCAAGATACCAGCATGACCACATTAGTTTTGGGTGTGGTCACGCCACCCTTCAGAATTTTAGAGCTTTAAGCCCTTCGGAGATCTAAGAAAGAAAGTGAAGGTGTGTTCCTTAGGGGATCTACATCTCATAAGAGGGATGTTTCTTCTTGCTTAGGAGAAGTAGGAAGAGAAACCATCGCCTTTCATAGGGAGAGCTTCATTCACCCATAGGAGAAGGGGAAAGAGATCTAAATCTCCTAAGAGGGAAAGCTTCTTCTTACTTTGGAGACGGAGAAACTGGTCCACCTCTTCTATGAGAGAAGAGCTTCATCCTGCGAAAGGAACGCAAAATCAACCGTCACGAAAGTGAAGATTCTTGGAAAAACTTATATTTCTCTTTTCTTCGATCCCCTTAGGTTGGTTGTTAGAGATATAAGGATTAGGGATTTTAATGCTAGAGAGAGGCCTTCTAGGTTGGGAAGCTTCAAATACATAACGAATCTGAGAAATTCCCCTTCAAACCCTTAGCTCCAAAAACTCATTGATCTAGAAACTAGTAATTATGTGACTATTCATCGGCCTCGACTTTTGATGAATGGGTTGAGGCCATTACGAAAGCTATGTTAAGGAGAAGACATTTCACTTAGTGAGATATTTAACAAGTGGCACTTCTCGTTGGGTGTTGTTATTGAGGGTGCTTTTAGTGTTTGGAAGAAGAATGATTGATTTTAAGAGGCATGCCTACATACATATTTAGCAAACAAGTCAAAATAGTGGTAGTGATAATATTTGCATCACACAATTATACATGACAACATTCTTCAAAGTATGACATTGAATTTAAGAGATATAGATTGATCGTGCTTATGTTCCACTTGAGGCTTATGAATACAAGGTTAGTTAATTAGTCAATAATGAATGTTGAAGATGTTGAGGATTACTCGACTTAGAATAGTGAATTTGTTGCTGGTATTGTTCAGCAAAAGGAACACATTATAAATACTTTAGTTGATGAGTGAAACATCTATTCCTGGTTATTTATGTTGTGTCTTTTAGACGTTTTCTTTTGCTTGAGATTCATTTTCATCTTTGTCTTTATTCGTTTTATCAATGATCCCAAAATTGTGCAATTTTATATAATCCTACAAATTGTTGAATATTATGTTGTGTTGTATCGTTTTGATTTACTTTGTGTTATTTTTCTTGAGGTCTATGATGAGTCATAAAACTTTAGGGGATCTTCTGGATGGTCTTTATGAGTTTGATAAAAAAATGTTAAAAGAAAATCAAATTCTTCTTCTTTTTATGGGTCATTCGCCTCTTATTGTGGTTGATTATGTATTTCCTTATCTTGATTCTAGACTCTTATTTTTTAATTTGCTTGTCCATTATGTTGCACATATACTCCAATTTTTCTATCAAGCATTCAACTCTGCATTCACAAGAATATGAGTTCATAAATTTTAAATGCTTCTAAGGTTTTGTACAACAACTATGACATGCAATGTTTCAAGTGTACTTCAAGTTGAGAAGCTAGCTAGCTATGAAAGGAGATTTTATAGGTATCCCAGAAACAAAACACTTGACTACTGTACATTTTATAGATAGGCTGATAATAATGAGGAATCCACTTCATACTGTGACATATTTGGAGAGGTTTTTGAAAGAACAATCTCTAGAAGACTTGACGTGCAATATCATTACCGATTTTTATTGTAATTTTTATTATGGTGTTATTATATGTTAAGTGATGTATTATTCTATTATTTCTCTGACTATAAAATTAAATTTGCAAAACTTGTATGGAGTATTTTTCTGATTTTATTATTTCTCCCCCTTTGGTTGAATCTATCTGTACTACAAAATCAGCAAGCCATCTCAACTGCATCAGTCTTATAATATATCATGCATCCATTAACACAATAATCATTGTTCTAACATTATAACCCTAACTTTGAAATAAACTTACTCGTTTTTTACACTAACTTTCCTGCAGAGTAAGTTTCTTTCAATAAAGTTGCTACCTAATTGAATGCTTCTCTGGGCATGTTAAAATCATATTTGATGATCAACATTATTACGACCACAAATAATTCTATATGTGCAGTGCAACCATCCCATAAAAGGTTATTGTGAAGTGTTCAGTAAGTTGTAAAACTGTTGCAATTTGTTATTCAGTGTTTTAGGTTCATGTTACACGCTTCCAATAAATTACCTCTCTAAGCATCATGAACCATTTCTTCATATGTGTCAGGATTAAATTCATTTGCATGGGGTGGGGGCATAACTTATCGAGGCACCTCCTTGATCGAACTAAACTTTAAGTTCTTGCTCACCATGTGCAGTCTAATACCAATAATTAGGTTTGAATCTCTTGCGGTGAAAATCCAACTTAACTCTTCAGGTGGCAAAAGTGCTTAATTTTTGTGCTTCGCATAAGAACGCCAAAACATACCCTCAGAACGATAAATGGCAGCTGTGATGCCATCTGTACAAATTTCTCAATGTCATTCAAGAACTCATCTGTGAGTCTTCTTCTTCATGGATATAATTTGTTAAACATCAAATCTCTCAAATTACAGATATCCACCTGCAACATACATATAGTTTTATAGAACAATGCAATTACCACAGAAAATAAAATGAAAGACTTAGATGATCGATATAAATATGAAAATTTAGGTTTAAATGTATGAAAATATAAGTGAAGTTGGCTAAATGAATTTTTTTTCTCCATTTTGTTCTATTGAGTGTCATACTTTCATTATTCTACTATATTAAGATCAATTTAATGCAACATGCACAAGTCTTTTAGGATTACCTTTACCTTTATTAAAATAAGTCAAATTTCAAACATCTACACTCCTAATTGACTCATCAATTAGTCAAATTTTGATGTGATCAAATCATTTAAGGTGACACTCTCTGATCATGCCATTGGAGCTACTCCAACCATTTCATGGATATGTAAGTTTCAAATTTTTGTGTCTAAGTGTAAAGCCACTCATCCACCTTAACATATGTTTAAATTAACTTACTTTTATGTTTGTCTTATAAGCTAACATTGTGCACAATAAAACATTAGAAGCCTCACCACCGCCTTATAAAATTTAGCTTCAATTCTAAGTGGTACTTTCCAATCACACAATATGTCTTAAGCATTCCTTCACTTCAGCCATCCAACTTGAATTTTACTAATAACATCACCATATATATCATCATCATTTTCAATAATGGACCTGATATATTTAAAATGTTCATTCCTTTTAAAGATTTGTTCATCCATTGTTATAACCCTTCCACTAGATCCACTACTACTAAATTTTCATTTAATATATATAGTTTTATATCTACTCAAAAAGCCTTTAAACTCTATGGTTGACCTTCAGAATTCATGTTTTTTTCTAAACTATATCTAGTGTTATCCATGAGAACGATATCATCAATAGAAAGCATACACAAAAGTTCACTCTCTTGTAAATGACTTGTACAAAATTCCATAACTAAAGCAAAAAAAAATAAAAATAAAAAACTTATACCTAAAGCCAATCCCTAAAATACTTACCCTAAATTAGTTATATATATAGTTAAACTAGGATACATACCTTCTCCATTATATTCTAGTTAGAGCAGAATGAAAGGATGAGAACTACTGGAGTTTCGGTGGGCTCTATAAGCCACACGTACGATAACTTTCCAACTAGCTCTAACAACGGTTGTATTGTGAGGGTTCTTTTAGTAGAGTGAAGGGTAGAAGAGGTGTCGAGCACGAGGCGCACGAGGCTTTCGAGCATAGGGGAGATGAGCGGGAGGGGGAGACGAGCCGAGAGAAAATAAAATTTAGTCATGCGATACGAGTAAATTAGGTCATTTGAGGCGGGCTTGTGTTGGCTTATTTTAACGCTATCAAGTAAATTATTTATGACAGTTTTTTTGACGCAAAGTTGGCACAAAATCCATAGCAAATTCAAAAAATGTTTTGTAATTTTCGAAACACTTAAACCAACGAATTGTCCACCACAAATCAAACGTTAATTATGATGCAAATATCAGATGCTAGTTCTATCAAGTCCTGTGGTGTCTCTCAAGAAGAATCTCCCGAGATCAACTGACCCCTGAGGAGAAGGCTATCCTTAAAGCACAGACATATGCCCATTTATGAGCCATATGACACCCATGCCACCATCTTTTCATTGTGATGCACAAACATACTTGGTACAACATGGTTTATGTTTAATATTTTTATATCTCTCGGTGTGGTCCAACAATGGTTGAGAATAATCTATGGGGCATATAAAGAGATGTGCTTTTCTACCTTTAAGAGAATATGGAGCATTTTCATCAATATTCTTGGATGATTTTACTCATGATCCGGATCATCGTCTCTATCAACTTCATCTTCTTCCTCTCAAGCCTCCTCAGAATTGCATGACCTGACAAACAATATGGGACCCTATATGACAACATCCTAAAATAATTAAACATATAAAATTATAATAACAATTAATTTTACAGAAGGACTTATGCAATAAAAATAAGTACTTTCTCAAGTAAAGAAAAAAAATTGCAATATTTATCCATCTAAAGAATTTAATACGAATTGATTAATAAATGATAAATAATATTTGAGGAAATGTAAAAATAGATCAGTGTTATGTTTGTCTTAAACAAATTGAAAAATAATTTGTATAAAATACACGTGCACGGCGCTGCACACACACACATAATAACCATCATTTTTTTAGTTTTCGTCAAGTTGATTTTTCCTTATAACGGTTAGCTTAACTTTAATCGCATACCTAATAGTTATTGCAACAAATATTAAATGCAAATTCAATTAGAAAAAAAAAAACTGTCAAATGAGATTATGCTAATCTAAGAATTCAATCACGGATCAATAATTAACAAAAACATGTACAAAATAAAATGTTCCTCCTGGTCTCATATAATTTTGCCAACTACATGAAATTTAAAGATTCTTATTTTAAATTGAAATAGAACACAGAGCTTGGATAAACTTGTTACAGACAAAAAAAAAAGAAGAAGAAGATAATTTTCATTGATATATATTCTCAATTGCTAAAACAACTATTGAATGGGTTTTCTTTTCCTAGAAGATTATAAACAATCGCTTATGTAATCGTATGTGAGATGCTTGAATCAATGATTAATTACTCATACATTTTGAAAAAAAAAATTACTTAATAGTATGATAGTAACAAGCTTATACATAACGTTTTCAACACATTAAGACTTAAGAAATTACATGACATTCTTATTTATATAACTTTTTGCATTTAAATATTTTTATATTTATAAACTTTAATAAAGTAAAATTTAAATCCTCCTACTCTGATCTCAAATATGAACGATAGAGTTAAAGTATCTTTAAAATTATTAGCATGTGCCTTGGCAGAACCTCTTTTTGCTCATTTATTGAGTTGGATCCTGTCAATTCTGCTTCCCTTTGTTGGGAAAAGATGGTTCAAAAGTAAAATACGCGATTGAAACTCAGATGACTTGTTACATCCGCAACATCTCCGCTAAGAGCACTGTCAATTCTAATTGGACGGGAACACGCGAGCACGAACGTGAAAGTACATATTACAGATGGGTGATAACAATGAGGAATTCACATCAGATTGTGACATATTAGGAGGGGTTTTAGATGGGTGGTAACAATGAGTCTGATTAACGGTGGAGATCCGATGGCGCATGCATCTCTGCATATGACATAGATGGGTGATAACAATGAGTCTGATTAACGGTGGAGATCGGACGGCGCATGCATCTCCATATGGAATAATTTTTTCTTGTGCAACAAACATTGCAATATTAAGTTTATTATTTGAAATAAAAAGTAGTATTTCTAGTGTCATCGAGCCTTATCTACCATTGGTCAAAAAAAAGAAAAAAGAAAAAAAGAAAAATGACATTCATTATTGCATTAAATAAGAAATAAAATATATAAAAAAAATATCCTGAATATACATTACAGGCAATATGCAGAAAGGTTGATGCTTTACTCTTTAAATAAAAGAACAAAATAAAGAAAGAAACAAATGTGAAGATTATTCGTCAGAAAAAAGAGCTCAAAGCAAAGCATGGAACACAAATGTTAAACGATCACTCAATGATTGGTGGATTAACGATAACTCGTTAATGTTATGTGAAAACAATGTGGGAATAAAGAAATTCTCACAACAATTAAACATGAATGATTTATATGATTCGGCATTTAATTGATTCGTTTACGTCCACAGAGAGGGAGATTCCACTAACAGTGGACTGAGAGGAAGAAAAAGCTATGGATCACAACTTTTGCACTTCTCTCTATAACTCTTATGAACTCTAAGTCCTTTTTATAGAGCAGGATTAGGGTTAGGGCTGTTAACGATCCGATTTCAAGATGAGTTGGGGTCGGCTCAAAACCAGCTCGAAAAATTTTGATCCAAAACCTTTGCTCGTAGCTCAGCTCGTTTATTTCAATCTCATCTCGATTCGAGCCAAATTCAAATCAATTTTTTGAACAATTAAAGATCTTCGAGCTAAATTCGCAAAATTCACAAGCATAAGCTATTAACGATCCGATTTCAAGTCGAGCTGGGGTTGGCTTAACATCGACTCAAAAAAAATTCGACCGAAAATTTTGATTCGTTGGCCCGCCCTTCAATCAAGTAGTTATTTTAGTTTCATAGCAAAAAACTTGACCAAGTTTCTTTAAGCGGCAAGTGTGCAAAATGAATACATTATAGAGTTTAGAATTTGATTTATAAATTACACACTAGGGTTTTATGCAAATATACATATCGTTCAAGTAATTTAACTTTCTTTAAGACCCATAGTATCGATCCCACAGAGAAGCGGGGTAAGAAATGACTTATGCGAAGTTCTAGTGCACTACTATTAGATCTTAGTTTGGAATTTTCGAAAAGTTTTATTTTTTTCTAAATTCACGAATTTACTCTCAAATTAAAATTAAGTAAATTAAATAAAAACCTAATCTACGGAGACTGGTTAAATTTTGGAAAGT